AGCAGGGTGCGGAGCAGCACCCGACTGCAACCGGTATCGGTTACCAGCCGTTGCAGGAGCAGCCTCCTAGTAGCCAACCGGTCTACCACCAGCTGCAGTCCTCCGGCTACCGTCACCTCGGTAGCAATCGGCAGCAACAGCAGCAGCGACAACCGCCGTCCTAGCAGGACGAGAAGCAGCTCGCCGCGGTGCGATCATCTCCTACGTAACCCGAAAACTCCTACTCCCCCCGCCGGGAGTAGTCACCGAAGGATCGAGATTGCTAGTTACATGAAGTAACTCCGAAAGTTGCGCGAAGACTCCGGCGGAATCTGAATTGATCGCGCGAGTTCGATGGGTTCAGACCGCGCGCGGAGTTTGTTCGTCGATTGTTAAAAATGCTCGAAGAGCTCGAGGACACGCTTGGAACTGTTCTGAATAATGTATAATTGTAGTTAAGATCGAGAAATGTTACTCGAGGGAAAACGCTGACTTATTGTTAATTTAGGGAGAAAGGAAAGCGGGACGAAGTCGCGACGGACTCGGGCGGCCGCTCGATGTCGAGATATTCGTTCCGCGATTACGCTCGAGCGTACAAATAAACACGATATTTTCGTTCGAGCGAATATTTTCTAGTCGAGCGTGGGTGCTCGCCTAATACTTTGAGTCGCGCGAGCTACCCTGATTCCTAACTTGGCTCGATATTTCTAGCGGAATTTGCGCGAGAAAATTTTGATCGAGCAGTGCGAACTGCTGATCGTTTAGGCACAAGGATGTGTAGACTTTTAAGACATATTTTCGTCGCGGCGAGAAAACGAGACGCGCACGCACGCACGCGGGGAAATCGTCACGACGCGGAGCTTCGTCTTTCAATAATCGCGAGAATAAAATCGCGAGAATAAAATCGCGAGACGGAGCATTCCGGGACCGGGCTCCCGACGGAATTGAATTTACTTCTAGGAACAGTCCTCTAGAGATTTACCATTGTCCCAGTTTAACGTTGATCTCCATTTTTCGGTTCGATTCGTCCTTGATGAAGAACGCCACGACGTACGCCGCGTGTATTTGTTGCAGAAAATGCAGGCGAATTAAAATAAAAGTTAGAAATTTTTATTCTATGAGTTAGCACATTTTTTCATTTTCTATCTGGCAAATGGTTTTTAAATTCTGAAATTAATGTTTGTTATCATTTTTATAAAAACTAGCTAATTGGCAGTAGTTAATTAAAATTAAGAAAATAAATTCTTTCTTCAAATTTGAAATATATTCTTCATTCAATTTTACTTTTAATATTTAAATGTATTGAATAGAGGCGTTATGTTAAAACAAGATATAAAAAATCGAGGAAATATTAGAATTTTTGTAAAAGTTAATATTAATAATTTTAATTCGCCTATTTCTCACAACAATTTAATACCCTCTTTTACAAGGCTCGTCGCATGTTAATCCTTTATGGCACTTTATAGAACATTTACTATTACCTTATAAGAGTAAACATATAACCCGACATGCTAACTTTTTATCAACTCACCATAATTTTTCCTATCGGATAATAAAATCTTTTTTCTATCTATAGGCGAGCCGTACGAGCAAAAATTGTGATTCGATAGCATAAAAAAATTCAGAGATCATAGAGGGTTAACAGAGGGTATAAGCGCGAAACACGTTTGCGCGCTCGTGCGCATAAGACACGTCGGCGGATGATCGCTCTTATTGCTCTCATTATTAATTACTATCGTTGCCCTTGTTCTGATGATTACCAGTTTATTAGCACGATAATTACCACTCATGATTCGTACGTATATGGATTCTAGACGACATAACAAGTGCCTAAGTATCTATAACTTCTTTCGGACCAGAGAAAGACTTTTATCAACTTAGACAAAGTAAAAGAAAAAAAAAAAACGAACTATTATTGCGAATTATTATTGCGCGAGGAGAGAGAGAGAGTTGCGAGTCGAGTGTGTTGTACACTACTGATGCGATATGTTGTGACGATATAGATATTATTATTCGTAATTTGTAATTGTGTACATAACACCGTTGCGCGTATATTTCCGCCGAGATGCGTGAGAATGAATGGCCGATAAAACTAGTGCTGCGAGAGATTCGAGATTATATATTAATATATATATAAATATATATTGTATATCTAATAAGTGGCAAATTTACATACAAATGTGAGGGCAGGGTATGCGGAGACATAGAGTGAGGGGGGGGAGGGTGATGGATTGAAAGGGCGCACACGATACGTTCTCCGCGCGGGGAAACGACGCGCGGCGATTCGATATACGATTTTTATTACGTAAAAAATACTCGGACGCGTGATGACGGTCGGACAAACCAAAGTCCGGATCCGCGTATTACGGTTCGTTAAATCTCTTTCTCTCTTACTCCACAATTACATCCATTCAAGTGCATGCTCAACGGTACGGAGAGCCTTATAAGAAATACTTTAAAGACAGTTTGATTTCTCCGGGGGACACGCGTCGCTTTGCGACAGATTTACCGATTTCAAGTTTCTCAATTAACAGCGAGCTTTATTCGGCAACTAATAACATCCCATTTTATTGCGCTGAAAAACAGCGATTAAAAATTTATCAATTTTATGAAAGATTTATAACGTTGAGCGAAAGTCTAGTTAATGTTAAAGATTAAATTAAATCAATCAAAATTTATGAAACGATTTGGAGTTGATCGGTTTATAATTGTATGTATATTGAATGTTATGTAATGTAATATTGAGTGTAATGTTATGTAATTTTGTAATGTGATAATTGAATGTTTGTGTCAAAGCGTGCGATGAAATGCGAAAGGGTGCAAGTGGAAAATTGTTTGAGAATTCGGAGGCACACCGGCGAAATCTTCGGTGTAAATCGTTCGGAAATAGCGCGAGTCCCCTTTCACGCACAAAGAGTTTGCAGAAAACGCAGCCGGTAGGGAATCGCAGTAGTCGCAGCCGCAGCCGCAACAATGCAATCTCAGATTTAAAAAAAAAAAAATCCGATCGCAATAGATATATAGAAATACATATACATAGAAATCGCGTTATCGATGTGAGTCGTTCGAGTGACTTTGAGTACGCAAAAACGTGAGATTGGAAACCGGTGGTGCATAGACACTAAAAACTAACTACGTAAATGTTAACTTATAATCGTTGACAAATTTTTAAGCTCTCGTAAATTTTATAAGTACTTGTCAATCGGCGTGGTTCTGGAGATTTGTCGCATGAAGCTTCGGATTTTCCCCGTTTGTATACAATCTGACAAACTTATAAAGAAACGCACCATGGAGAACCAATTAGGATCTAATGATATTAATTAGAGAGACCTTAGATCGTGGGTTTCGCCGTACGAGCGAACACCGGGCGATTGACAAATCGGTTTATCTACACGGACTACTAGTTTTCGAATACTTTCAGAACCACGTTCCTCGGCAGCCTCTTGGCATGTCCACGACCAATGCGAAACTCCACTCTCTCACGCATCTTTCTTTCCTGAATTCCTCCACATGAGTATCGTCGATCGATTTTCCCACCTTATGTTTCGTATCTGTGCTTTTATTCGGTGTGTTGTCCAAACACTATAAGCCAAAAAGCTCTTGCCGATTCGTAGATCGCGCTCTACGAACGATCGAGGGTTTGTGCCTCCTAACTTTTCATTTTTCTCTTTTCAATCATCGATTGTGTTGCACACCCCGTCGTTTTTTTTTTTGACGCTCTATTATTAGTATTAATTTTACTTGAAAGTCTCTTTTCCTTTTTTTCCGTTTACTTACTTAAGTGACAACTTAAAGCAAAACCGTTCTTACGAGAAATATATATAGTGTATACATACATACGTATATGCCAAATTAGAAGAATCGGATGACGCTGAAGTAATAAGTGTAAATCATTACGTGTCCGTAACATGACCACAAGTAGTGGCAGAATTTTTTACGCTCTGTAAAGTAATATAGATCGCCGTCTGTTCTTCATCTTTCGCGGACGAAGAGATACAAAAAAAAAAAAAAAAAAAAAAAAAAAAAAGTAAGGAGCGCCGACCGACCAGAACCACTAATAGTTAAAATACCGAAGTCCTGTTTATATCTTATGATGTCTGAATAAAAATTGTCATAGCAATTAAAACCCCGTGCAATCGATCTTTTTCGCTTATAGTCTACACTCACACACACACACACACACACACACACACACACACACACACGCGCGCGCGCGCGCGCGCGCACATTTTGTTAGAATATAAAAGATCGACGAAAGTTCCCAGCAAGAGGAGAGATCGTCATTGAACTTTATGAGATAATCGTTTGATTAAATTGTTAAAGTAATCAGACTAAAGAGATAGATTATTTGCGATTAAAGATGAGGAGAAACTATTTTGCTTGTGGAAGAGACGCGCTGCTTCGTTTATACGCAATAGAATACTCGAATTTTCAATGTCTTTCTAACGACAACAATATCTTTATTAACAATTGTCTTTTTATACCGTTTTAGAACGAAACAAGATTTACATCGAAACGTAGATTACGCGCGCCAAGCCCCATTTACGGTAAATTCCGACATAATCGATCCCGAATAGAATACGAGATATACGTCTCGTGCATTATTGCGGAGTTTATCGTAAATCACGTGTCGCGTGAGTAGTCGCGTAAAGAGAGACCAAAATTTTCCATCTCGTGAGACTGAGAAACGATCAGGGAGGCTGAGGGTAGTTGTGTATAGTTCAAGAGCCAGGTGAATAAATGTGAATTTGCGACTGGGAAAAAATTCGTTTCCAAGCCGGGAGAAACTTAAGAAAGTCGATCCGAGATTCATCGGACTCTGTCCCTAAAATATTTTTTGCTTCCTTAGGATATCTTGTATAAAATGTATAGATATACATGTGTATATGTTTTCTTATAAAACGCGCATATAGAGAGCCAAAGACGCAGGATTCAGCAGGACCAATTCGCGTATTTCTACTGTATTAAGATCGCTTCTCGATCTATTTGTAACGAATAGTGCTCGATATGTTCGAAATAAGCCAATATTAACAGCCGGACATTGATATTAATTGTAATAATTATTAATAATAATAGTGACGCTGACTAAATAGTGTAAGTATGATAAAGAATGTCGGACGCATGTGAAACTTCGCGATAAGTTTACCGATAATGGAATAAAATGCACAATTATATTCATCTACTCTATTAGATCTTAGTGGCGTACACACACACTGCGGACTCGTCAAAATACATCGTCGTCTTAATTATATATCGTCGTTCGTAAGTTTATAGCAGTGAGTGTAACGCCGTGTGTTTCAATATAGGATATACTCCGAATTTTTGGAATGTTGAAGTATGGAGTGAGAACAAAAATAGGAAATAAAATTGAACGGTGATTGAAGCGAGATTTCTTCACACGAAATTCTTTTATATTGTATCATATCACCCCTAAAAGTCTTATTTATATCAATTTTCAATAATAGCGACAATCGATCGATCATAAACAATCATTCGCAAACATTTATAAAAAGAATAAAATGTTCATAACCTGAGAATTGCAGGAAAGATATTTCGGGTATTTGGCAAGTTCGGTAATATTTCTTTCTTTGGATTCAACACTTTTGTTCGTTCAAACAAATCATGATGATAAATCAAGGTATAAGATGTATAAATAGGATAAATGAAGGATAGGTACTCACTGGATTGCAGAAACACAGGATAGCAGGCTTTTCAATCATGGGTATCCGAAGAACATCTTTCAAAACATTCTTGTTTATTTATAAAGTCCTCCATAGTCCGACTTCATAGTAGTCCGACATAATCTTCCAACTGTTGTCCTAGATTTTCGTTATTTTACAGTACTTACAGGACGAAATGTAGGTCGCAAAAATTCATGTTGCAAAAGGAAAGACACCTTCCTACATCGTAAGCCTTCCTTCATCATTATGGAAATAATAATCAGCAGCAGCACGACTTCAAAGATACATTCAGAGTGTACAGCGCGTAGAAATCAAAACGTGTCGCAGAATCCGTTAAATAAAACACGTCGAATTTCTCTGCATGCCGTGCAACTAGTTAGTTGCACTCGTGCACGTATCGGCTATAGCAAGGCACAAGTATGCATGCGGCGAACTGGCACTCAATGAATAAGCTAAGGTTCTCGTCGTCCAGTCTTAAATTTCGATTATGCTTCTCATTTTAAGCTGAGGGAACAAACTTGGTCACGTCAGAATTGCTCATTAACTAGAGTTCAATAAGTTAGGAGAAAATTTTGAGCTTAGCGCGCAGTTAATATTATTTTGTCATTTGCGCCGCTTTCTTTGCTTTCACAAGTTCAACTAGTTCCTGTAACAAAGAAGACAAGCGTGTTATTGCAAATCGGACCTTCATCCACTAAAATTGTGTAATATTTGACAATTTGCCATGTAAAATATACCAAACACTTACAACACAACTAATCTTCAAAATTTTTTTTAAATGCATATCGGAATGTCAGATGTCGAATGATATAAGGTTAAGACAACTGGAATGAAGTTAGTCGCATGTATTTATAACTAACGCTATCTCTTAGCAAAAAACGGAACAAAATTTCCGTTCAATCCAATATAATAGTTTCATATATCAATGATTTTTTATTTTCCGCTTTCTTAGTCTTACATAAAAGTCCGATTGCGTAATTGCGTTGTACGATCATAATAATAATGTAATACATAGTATAATATTCGGTTTTTACTTACTTTATATCTTCTCATGCACTCCTTTTTCGTTCTACTGGGTATACACGCTGCTATCTGATCCCACCTGTCCGGAACCGTGGTGGGGTAAGTTTTCAGCGCTTGTTCCAGAAATTTCTGCTCCACTGGTGTCCACGGCGACGATTCTTTCTTCGTCTCTTTCGGCTCAGCGGCGACGCCATTTGCGATTGGATGATCTAAGCGCTCTGTAACAGCAGGCATTCTTTCCTCGATCGCATCCTTGCTCTTTTTCTCAGCGATAAAATTGTCGAAGGCCTTTTTGTTTGCTTGTTCTTTCAGACTTGATTTGCTGAAATCGGTTGATTGCAGACTCTTAGCCTTCGCTAGAACCTCCTTGGCGTCACGGGTGACTCCGCTGGTGGAACTGCTATGTTGATTGATGAAATTTGCCACCACTTCCCAACGTTGATTAGTGCCGGCGGGGAAAAGATTAACCGCTTTTATTAATAGCTGCAAGTCGTTCTCGCTCCAAGGCGCGGTGCAAGTCTTGGTTTGTTTCTCAGGCGTGTTTCGTGTATCATTATTGATTACGTTTATGCGACGCTCCGCCTCAATCTTCCGCTCCGTTTCCTCGATAATGCTCAAAAACGCGCTTCTCCCCTCAGTCTGCAATCTTTTCATCGCTTCCTCAAATTGCACTAGTTTAAACAACTCACAGATTTTTTCCACGTTTTCCATGTGTCGAAGACTCTCTGACGAATTTTCAGCAAAATAATTATTCGCTTTGCAGAAGTCTCTGAGTGCCTTTCTCTCCTTACGCAATGCCTTTTTCTGCGCCTCTCGCTCCTGTTTCAGCGCTTCTTGCTTTACTCTCTCCTCGGATTCTCTCTTTTCTTTCTCTAATCTTTCCTTTTCAGCCGCATTGCGAGCTACTCTCTCTTCCTCCTGCTGTCTGGCCTTCGCTGCTTCTTGCTTCGCTCTTTTCGCAGCGTTCTTCTTATCCTTATCGTCTTGTTGGAATTTCTTTATCCTAGGATCTATGTTGTAAGCCATATCTACTAAAGTACGTATCCGTGTCATTTCCTCCTTTTTCCGTTTCGCTCTTGTGGCTTTGTTCTTCCTCTCGATCCATTTGCGCATATCTCGGCTGCAAATAATTTTATAATCAATCTTATGGTGCAATTTTTTGGAAGAAAATCCTATGAATAATCGTAAATACTTACTCTTGACCACTTTCCTTGTCTTCCTCATCAAGATATGAGTATTCACGCCAGGAATCGAAGTCATACCAGAAGGAGTAGAATTTCTCGACCTTTTCTCGCGGTGTGAATGGCCCACCTAATAGCGGCACAGGCTTTTTCACAGACCAACGTGAGTTGTCTTTGAATGCTTTACCTAACATCCTGTAGAAATTATTTCGACAGTCTTTTTCATCCGGAAGATTATCATTAAAATAAGGATCTACACTATCGTAACTTCGCCTTTTTATCTGATTTCCAAGAGTCTCCCAAGCACGAGTTATACATGTAAAATAGTCATCATCCGGCCGAATTTCCTCGCCCATCGCTTTGCGTTTATCAGGATGGTGCTTTAATATTTTCTGCTTGTCTGCAATTCATATATTTTCAAATTATTACAAGATATTTTTAAATTATTACAATGTTGTAATTTAAAAATTTATATTTTTCCACTTTACATACAAGCTCTTTTGATGATATCTTCTGTTGCTTTGTGCCTAAGATTTTTCAAGCCTAACACAGCATAATGATCCTGATCCTTCCAGTCTCTCGGATCCAGCGACCTAAGATATTCAAGATCATCCTCAAACTGATATTGAGATAAATCCTCTTCTTCATCTGAGGATTCCGAGATACTGGCACGTGTGAGACTGCGGTGGAACTGGAGTCTCCATGCTTGTGCAGTTGAATATAGAACTACTGGACCCGCTGTGCTCGTATTAGTCTTAGTTGGCTCTGTAATGTATTTGTTTTAGATGGAAAAATACAAAAATGTTTTGTACTGTGCTGCATAAAGAAACATGAGAATTACATGCCTACAAAGATGGCACATGAACATAAAATTGGGAACACAAGGTATACGTGTATAAAGTCGAATATCAATCGCAAGTCGAACTTGTTTACAAAATTATATGAATAAAGAGCGATCTAGAAATTTCTTTTTGGCATGAAAAGTAGATTAATCTAACTAATCAAAATCTATAATTTGAAACAGTAGCGAAATGCGGAAGTTCATCCGAAAACCCCGCTGCGCTATTCTAACCAATCTTAACCTCTAATAGCCGGTGCCGTGTATCGGACAATGTCAGAAACTCGATATCTTACCGGATATGGAGTTAAAAGCCGCAGAATCTTCATTCCCGGTGCCGTCCGTCATTGTCGTGTGATCGTCACGACAGCTTAATATTAAAATCGCACACGGGACACCTAACAGATCACGTCTATCACACTACGTGCATATTCGAGAACAAGCGCTACAAGAAAGATATGCCGGAAAACAATTCTATTAACAAACCCAAAAATATTAGTCATTAGTTTGACGTTCGGCGAGCGGCAATTTCGAAAATCTTATTCATACAATTATCATATATCAATGAAACTTTATTATATGCAAGTAATTTTACGTTAAATTTTATAATTATCAATTCTCAATGAATTCGAAGATGATTGAAAAACTTTAATATGGCCGCCATCTACTAGGGTGCATTTAGAAACTACACTCTGGGGGAAAGCTTTGTGTATTATCTATAGTATACGTTACGTATATCTATAGTATACGTTACGTATACTATAGACAATAAACAGAGACTTTCACTCTGGTTTCTGAACGCACCTGTACATTGTAATAATGGGTGCGTTCAGAAAACAGTTGTATGAGCGCAAGATCTATAGAGAGAAGGTTATCTCAGGCAAACCCATTGAGTAAAAAGAAACAGGAGGGAGCACGGACTAAGGAATAGAGGGACTGAGTCTAAAGTCCTAGTTTAGGCGAGAGGGGATGGTAATTCAAGCGTGCGGGGGGGACTGCTTTCCGCCATATTGATGTAGCGATTCTCACACAGAGATTCTGTGTCTGTGACATGGTTACACTCGTGTAGTGGTGCCACTAGACATAACGAGTGACAAGCGTAAAGAGATTAGGCGGTTTTATTATTGTTGTACTATAAATTTTATAAAATACTTTAATTACTTTTATTACTCTTTAATTACTTTTATTACTCTGAGGCTCTGCATACAGTAGACAAAATATTAGAAATAGCAATAATCATTTAATATTAAAAA